GAATAACATTGAAACCTATAAGTGGAGAGACAAAAAAGTTAACTGCAAGTTGTCCAGGAAACATATGCCTTGTGATACAAGTATAACTAAAAGAGAGCATATTTCATGAAACCTTTACGATAGGTAATCAAAATTCTAGATGAAAAATCTAGCTCGAATCCTGCTGCACCATTGCTAGTAACATCATCAGGAGCCTGATCCTGGGAAATTTTATGGCACACACCAAGAAGCCATATATCACCGCCGGAGCTATAGACACCACTCCTGTGAGAACCCAATATGCGCTCCTGAAGTCTTCTCATTGAGCCACTAGTCATAACTTTTCTTACAGTTGTCCAGACATTTTGTCGAGAATGAAATGTCTTCTATTTCACTAACAGAGGGCTCTTTGTGATGTTCAAAGATTGTTAAAGTAGATGTGAGGAAGCTTGACCATACGGAGGCTTTGGAGGATACGTGATTTTTAGACCCTAACTCTGGACAAACAGATTGCTGAGTTCTATCTATAGTATCAGTTGTACTTTCAGAAGAGCATGTTGAATTCAGATCTTTCCCCCTTCCCATGAAAACCCTTCATTGCCTAGCCAACAAAGTGAAAACAATGACTAGATACGAAGTTATTTCAAGAAAATTCCACAAGTCAAAGTTAATATAGAGATAAGAAAAAATTAAAGGGCGAGCTTTTTATAGGCCCAAAAAAAGGCGAGTTCTAGAAAAAGAAAGCACATGGAATGAAAATACAGTACAAGAGGACTCATGTAAGAAACCATGGGCAGGGGGATGTTATCACAAAAAATTACAGATTCCAGTCATAATAGTGTGTATCAGTGACTAAGAAAACAAGGATGAATGTAATTCGTACTTCATTTCATCTCTCCTTAAAACATTCTACACGAAATGAATGATCAACATGAGTGCCATGCCGTTTTGGTTCTGTAGCCTTGAAACTTTTTAAAGAGCTAACATAACAGAAAATAGCTCCAACGGAAAAGAATAAGACCAACAGGATAATTACACAAGTTCTTAAAAAAATTCGTCCAAATTGAGGCATCAAACTTGATGAATAATAAACTGTTAAATGCTCAACTTTCATTTTAATTAAGACAGAATAAGAGCTCACCTTTAGAGATGGCTGCATTCAATCGCTTTGAATATATATACAGAACTGAAATGCGTTTAGCAAGAGCATGATTGATTAAAACATGTTTCAAGTTTTACCAAAATGATTTCAAATTTTCAAAGTCCCGTGCACATGAAAAAGTTAACGATGACAGCTGATAACAGGATATCTCCAGTCAAAACATTGGAGAATTCGCTAGAGTGAGTAAGACGAATTGGCTCCAACATAAAACTGCGAAGTCATGAACACACAACCGAAAGCAAACAAACCTATTAGAAATTGCAGAAAATAGAACAGGGAGAAACGAAAAAGAAGATCAGAGAGATGGAGAAAAATCCAATTAGCCGAAACATGAGAGAAATCGTCAGGAAAAAAAGGAAAAAAAAGAAAAAAAACCTTCTGAAGGCGTTAGAATCCAGCATCCTCTATTCAGCGCAACAGCCTCCAAGCAAGCAATCAAAGTAGATATTCCCTATCAATTGGGTTTCCAATTTCACAAAATTGTGCGGCTTCAAGCACGAGGGATTAAGAATTGATTGTAATTGCGTAGGCCATCAGCTTCCCAGTATATAAAAACTGGGTTAAATCAACGTCAATGGGGGAATAAGGATTCGGTATTGTAGCTGCTTCGTTTCTGGTGAGCTTCGACTTCGAATGAGTTGTCGCTGAGCTGACTTTGGGCTCTTTCACTTGGGCTGCACCTCGGCCCATCTTGGACCCTATAAAACACCCTAAATTAAAAATAATATCTTTAATACAAGTCTAAAAAATACTTAAGCTAAGGTAAATACAGAATTTCAGGCGTCAAAAAATCAAAAGATTTTTCCGAGAATAAAAGATTCCTCCACCTCGCCGCCGCGGCTATTTCGTTCTGTCCAGGCCGTCCGCCCCCGATGCCTTGCGGCCTGTCACAAATTATCTTGCCGTCTGCCCTTCGCACGCCACCATCGGCCTCTGCTGTCCGTTGCATACTTGTGCTTTCGTCGGCAACTATCAATGAATTCAAACCAAATCGAACCGGATTCCAATCCTAGGTCATTTGCGATTTTTGTACTCTGTTTTCGGTAAATATAAGAATTTTCTAAAAGTTATTATGCTTACTTATTTCATCTTAATCGTTTGCAGCTGCGCTTCGTGAAATAAAGCATTTTGTTGCCGTGAAATTACCCTATCGATGGCTCTCTTTCGAATCTTTTACCCCCGACCATCATCATTTCGATTCAAGATCTCCACCTTATCTACCTTGCAGTTAAGTACAGTCTCTTCTGCCGATTTATTTTATGACCATCTGCAGAAAAACAATGGTAATGTGGAGAAAACCCTTGCTACTGTAAGGACCAAGTTGGATTCCAGATGTGTCAACCAAGTATTGCATAAATGTTCTTTCGAACTGTCCCCAATGGGTCTTAGATTTTTTATATGGGCTGGTCGACAGCCTAATTATAGGCATAGTTCTTTTATGTACGCTAGAGCTTGTGAACTGATTGGACTTAATCGAAGTCCATGTTTGCTTTTTAATGTTATTGAAGATTATAGGAGGGAGGGTTGCCTTTTAGATATTGGGATGTTTAAGGTTATCTTAAACTTGTGTAAAGAAGGTAAGCTTGCCAAAGAGGCTTTGTCGATATTAGGGAAAATGGCTGAATTTCATTTGCGTGCTGATACTACAATGTATAATCTGGTCATAAGGTTATTTACTGAGAAGGGGGAGATGGATAAGGCGATGGAGTTGTTAAAAGAGATGGATTCAGTTGATATTGATCCTAATATGATCACTTATATTGCCATGCTCAAAGGATTCTGTGATGTGGGTCGTCTGGAGGATGCTTATGGATTATTTAAGGTTATGAAGGAAAATGGATGTGCACCCAATACAGTGGCTTACTCCGTGCTACTTAATGGTGCCAGTCGGCATGGGGATCTGGAAAAGCTAATGGAATTGTTGGAAGAGATGGAAAAACAAGGGGGAAATTGCGGTCCAAATACTGTCACGTACACTTCCATAATCCAGAGTCTATGTGAAGTAGGCCAGCCTCTGGAGGCATTGAAGATATTGGACAGAATGGAAGACTCTGGTTGTTCTCCAAATCGTGTCACAGTTAGCGCGTTAGTAAAGGAATTTTGTAAAGATGGTCACATGGAGGAGGCTTATAAGTTGATTGATAGAGTTGCTGCAAGAGGTGGTGCTTCCTATGGTGATTGCTATAGCTCACTTGTAATATCCTTGATTAAGATGAAAAGGATTGCCGAGGCAGAGGAGCTATTTAGAAACATGTTAGCCAATGGGGTGAAGCCCGATGGCGTGGCTTGTACTCTCATGATCAAGGAATTGTGCTTAGAGGAGCGAGTGGTCGATGGTTTTAACTTATGCAACGAAGTCAATAGGAATGGATATTTATCTTCCATTGATTCTGATATTTATTCTCTTCTTTTAGTTGGACTTTGTGAGCATGACCACTCTGTGGACGCTGCAAAACTTGCAAGGTTGATGCTTCAAAAAGGGATTCGTTTGAAACCTCACTATGCTGAAAGTATCATCAAACATGTGAAGAAATTTGGAGGCCAAGATTTAGTTATGCATTTGGGTGGAATAAGGGAATGACGAGCAAATCCTTCCAAGAACCTAATATGGTTTAGAACTAAGGTTTTAGCAAGCTTCAAACATATAGGTTGTTTAGCCATAGTGTAGATATGGATGTCAAACCAGTCTCAATTGCTTATGGGAGAAAAGATGACTGTCATGACCTTGTGATCCTCTTGAGTGTTTCACTTTACTGATTGCTGGAATGGTATGACAAAAGCCCTTCCTATAACCACAAATCAAATTGTACGTGTTAGAGGTTACGAGTTCTATTTTGATCGTGTACCTGAAGTACATCTTACTAGTTTCTCAAATTTCAATATTGTCAGGTCAAGTGAAGATGCGTTTAAAATTTCGGTATAGCCAACTTGAAGCACGTTCAATAGCGGTGCCAAGCAACGCTGCTCTGTATTCACAAGCTTAGTGCCACTCAAGGTCCTACGGCAGATTGTGAATTGTTGATATCTTAATTGTTGAGAAGAGCATTTCGAATGTGAGTGTACATAAGCCTTTGGCACTCGTTTGTGTCACTTTTCCTCATTGCGTTTGGCTTGGCCCTGACTTCTGCAACATAGTTTCATAAGCCTTTGGCACTCGTTTGTGTCACTTTTCCTCATTGCGTTTGGCTTGGCCCTGACTTCTGCAACATAGTTTGTATCTGTTTGAGTGAATGAATCTAAGAGCGTATATCGAAAGATAAAAGACATGTGGTGTATTGTACATGTGGTGTATTGTATTCACGAGCCATACGTATTTAGAGATGATCATTTTTCTTGTGGAAAATGGGAGAGATTTTGAGTTGACTAAATGCAGACAGAGAAGTAAAATACATTCATCATCCCTTTTTCTGTAGCCACTCCTATTATTATTACTTTAATATACATGTTTCAAGCTTCATTATTGAAAATTGTACATTTATCGAGTTAATTCTTCCCCTTCTTTTACTTGAAATTTAGACTTTGATAATTAGACTTTGATAATTTGTGATACATCATTCATGTAAGTAATTTTGAAATATTTCTAAGATATGATTAAAATAAGTTTAAAATTCTTATGGTTAATAGTATGCTTACACTAGTAAAATTTCGTTAATATTTTGTTACATTTCATCCGAAAACATCAATTCATCATCCCTTATGCTATATCAAACTTGTTAATGATAAAATTTATAACCTTGCACTTGAGTGAATATTTTTCTATAATATAATAAAAACGCCAAATTATCTTGTGTCATGTCAAATATGTCGATGTCAAACCTTATAGGCACAATGGACTTTAAAATTCTACACTGAAGCTAGGTGAAGCGAAAGGCGCCTAATGCTAACATTAGCTATTTCAACACTTTCATTCTCTTCCAAAAGCAACAAATTCACCATCCAAAGTTAGTGCCAAAACTAAGTAGTTTAAAACAAAAGGAAACGCCTCTTACATAGTGACCATGACAATTAAGTGACAAAAGAGTTCAGTCAACAATCCCTTGGAATGTCTATGGAAGGACATCATACTTCTTTTTATAAGAAAGAAAAAAAAAACGTCCACTCTTCCTCCAGATGGTGCTCTTTTATTTACTCCTGCACCCACAAAATCAATTACCTCTATATCAGACAAGCATAAACGTCTCCACAGACAGAGAAACAAACATTATGCAGAAGAATTCACCTTGATTCATTCATAACCTCTACTTTCACTAGTCAATACTAACAAAAGTCCTCACTTAGATCCTCATGGCTGTTATATGTACATTCTCGCTCGAAAAATGTGGACTAACCCATAATAACAGTTAGATGCTGGTTCAAAATACATTTTCGAACGTGTAAACTATCCGGTACATCGTTCTAGCCTCTAAAAAGTTCTAGTCTTGCTCATCCCTAACAGTCACATTATCTGAACCCTTCAAGTAACTAACATATTGACCCTCTGAACTTTTTTTCACTTCCTCTGATTGACGTCCCTATCAGCTATCAGGAGCTAGTTCTAATATAGCCTATACACCTTATGGAAGAATGACCTCCTTTGATTCGAAACTGAACAAACTAGGAAAGGAGGCAGGCCCCTCTAATTAACTAACTTATTTGTGTAAGAATATGAATGGATGAACTTGTCCATCCAGTAACTGTCGTGATTTCAGATTTTATATGCTTTCTCCATGAGCAGTGTGAAGTTTCAAGAATTTCTATTTTGAATCAAGTTGCGCATAGCAGTAGTAATAACAGAGAAGGAGATGTCGCATACCTAGTTCTCATCCTCGTCACTACCATCCTCCCTATTCTTCTTGAGGCGAGTGGTACCGCCCACTTTAATGATGGGCAACTTCATCTCACCGAAAGGTGTGTTGACACGAATATTCCCTTTTATGGTGTAGCCAGTACCTCTTCCTCTAATCATTTCCCAAAGTGCCGAACCGAAGTCCTTAGGCCTAAAAGTGATTGGTAAGTCGACGTAGCTGATCCCATTTTTATCAATGGGTGTAAATTTGGAGAGATCCGAGCGTCCAATACTAATATCAGAGAGCCAAACTTCACAGTCGAGGTCCTTCAATCCCAACTCAAAGTCATTCTTATTTTCCAATTTCAAATGGAGAATGGCAACAGTTTCTTCAAATGAAAATCTCTGGAAATGTATCTTCTCAATACTGACGTCGGGCTTGTAAGGAATAGGGATCTCTCCAGTTTTCTCAAGTGGCAATGTCAGTCTCCCAAAAACAGGCACATCCACAATTAGATCAACCTTGACCCTGTAAGGAATGATACTGCCAGGTTTAATGTCATGATATGTGTTCTTTATATCATCATAAACCAACTTCAGAGGAATTTTGACAGTCTCCTCTCCATGAGCATGAATTGTTCCAGCATCAGGAATCAAACCAGAGATCAGTTTCCTGCCATCACTCTCTATCAAATAGTTAATGTCAATTAGAGGAATGGGAACAGGATTAGGGTTTTTAACCAGAACATCAACGACAATCTCAGCCTTCTCAAGATTGATCGAGATAATATGAATCCCAGTGACATCGGCAATCGGCTTCCCGAAACTCATCTTTTCTTCAATCTTCTCGCCAACGTCATGCATAAAACCTTTCACTTTGTTAAGGAATCCACCCTTCTCTTCATTTTCACCTTCCTTCTTGTCTTTGTCTTTATCACCCCTTTCTACGATCTCAGGTCTATATGAAGACGCCATAACTTCATTGCAAATTACAAATGCACAGATTTAGAACAATTCTCAGATTTATTCTGTTCTAAAAATTCAAAGATGCAATTGGATGGCAACGTAAACAAAATATGTACTGCATAAGAAAAATGCACCGTTTTCCTCTGTGAATGTTTGATTAATCCACCACACCACCTAAATGGTGTGAAAGTTATCTTATTTATAATCAAATGAATTACAAGGATATGGAAATAGTAATAAATGGAAATAACAATAAATGGAAAGATACCTATAATAAGGCAAATATTTATTTGCCTTATAATAAAATATCAAATATAGTATATATGGTAAACTATAATTTATTACTAAATATCCTTAACACCCCACCGCAAGGTAAGCGTCGGATTTAAACGAACGTGAAGCTTGAATCTGAAAAATTCAAAAAGGTTGAGAAACACTTTTCATGAAGATGCTAACAACCCGGTTCTTGGCCATCAAAAATTGCAGAGGGATCGCCGCTCAGCGGCGATGCTGCCTTGGCTTCTGCGAGAATATGTCTAACCCATGAAGAGGGATTGTCGCTTAGCGACGATTCTGCCTTGGCTCTGGTGAGAATATTTCTAACCCCAAGAAGTAGAAGGGGAAACCTAGAGCAAGGGACAAAGACAATGTTGAAGCCGGAAGAGTCGCCACATTGGGCGAAGGAGCCAATTTTGGCGAGAAGGGCAGTCGAAAGAGTCGCCTCATCGGGCGAAGAAGCCAATTTTGGCAGGAAGGGCAGCGGCAACTTGGTTGGCAAATAGGCCAGTGCGGCACCCAGATTCCGAAGGTAAATCTCTGCAAAAGGTTGATAGGTTTAGGTTAGGGTTTATGTGAAGGATGAAGGTTGATTGGGAAGAAAATGAGAGAGACTATATTGGCCAAGGGGAAAACCGATTGGGTTGGAAAAGGTGAGGTTGTATGTACAAAGTATGACGAAAGGTGATTTGGAGGTCAATAGGGTGGAGCTAATCAATCGGCTCCGACTACGGCAGCCATGAAGACTGCCCCTGCGGCGTCAAAACCAGCAGGGGTGGTGGAGAAGAAGATTAGAGAATTCAAAAGCCATTGAAAAGAAAGGATCGGGGTTGTTAAACCGAGAGGGCTCTGATACCATGTGAATGTTTGATTAATCCACCACACCACCTAAATGGTGTGAAAGTTATCTTATTTATAATCAAATGAATTACAAGGATATGGAAATAGTAATAAATGGAAATAACAATAAATGGAAAGATACCTATAATAATAAAGCAAATATTAGATATTTGCCTTATAATAAAATATCAAATATAGTATATATGGTAAACTATAATTTATTACTAAATATCCTTAACATCCTCAACAACATGAACCAAAATTGTAGAGACAGAGAACAATAGTTTCAAAATCAAATATCATCCTGTGGTGATCAATATATTTTCCGGCGAACAATACTAATGCCGAAAAGTCTACCAAACTAACAAAACATCCGCAAGAAACGATACAAAAGACATTAACAATTTAGCAATAAGAAAACCTGGAAAAGCAATGGATTGAGTCAGATGAGGTGGAGACGATACAAGTCAAGAAAACAAATATGAAGAGGTTGTAAGAAACAAAAAGAAAAGCGAAGGGAACACGGAAGAGAAGAGAAATGAGAGCAGAAATTCAAAATGTAGCAGTAGAAAGGAGAAGAATTCACCTGAGAGAGAGAGATCAGAATCGCAGTGGGAGAGGAAGGAATTGAAGGAAGAAGAAGAAGAACAGAGGAGAGAGATTTAGATCCGAAGAAGGAGGACGAATGACCGATCAGTTTGGCGCCAAGGGACACGTTGTGGGCTTTACGCGCGGCCCATCAAATTTCTTGCCATGAAGACTTCACGTGCCTCCACGTAGACAACACCCATTTCAACCACTGACATCTTTTCTTTCCAATATATTTATAATTTTTATATTAACAAAATAATAAATTCTACAAATTATCCTTTAATTTTCCCCTAAATTTCCATAATAAAACAACGTAGTCAGGTTAGGATGCTTGGAATTAAAAAATAAATAATTTCACACGCAATCTTCTAAAAATATTAAAATTATAGGAAAAAAATAATTTTCAAAGCCGCCCAATTTGCAAATTAATGACGTCATATAAACTTCTTTTTTTTTTTGCCCCTCCATTTATATTCCCAGTATTTATATATTTCAATTTTATTTCATGCAAAATAATTATTCTAAAAAAAAGTTTACAAAATAATTATTCAAAAAAAAAGTGTACCACCAAAAATATTAAATTGGAAAATCTTTAAGTCCATTTTTAGTCGTAAATGGGAAAATCTTTATTTTATTTTATTTTTTAATTAATTTTTGGAATAATTTAAAAATTCAATAGTTAAACTTACCCGTTGGGTAGAATTTCTATATAATTCTCTAATTTTAAATATTTGAATACTTTTCAATCAACTTCTTCAATTTTATAATATCCATTTCCCCACCGATTCTTGTTTCTCTCTCTTCTGCATCAGCCCCCAGTTTTCTTTACTTCTCCACGCGCCTCCTCTCTCTCTCTCTCTCTCTCTCCCTTTCTCACCTCCGGCCACCGCTCACCGTAGCACCAGGCTCGGGCGCCACGCCGCTATTCTGTCTAGTGCCTAGTATCCATTGAATTCTGCGCCTCCATTTGGCCCGTTTCTTTTTATTTTTTCGGCAATAGCGGTAAGTGCTGCGTGGTGGTTCCTGATCTGCGCGATCCACGAGCTATACCGACGCCTTCTTGGCTATCCGGAAGTGACTCCATTGAATCAGTGGCGAACAGACCATTGACGTGTATTTCCCTTCTGTTCGACGACTTTCAGTATTGACCTACTTGAGATCGGGCCTCGAAAACACTCGATCATCCACGACTCGTTTGACCCCTGATCGTTTTACCCACTTCGTGTCGACGTTGGATCTGTGAGGAATTCGAACACCGGCCAGCAGGATTAAAGGCTTCTGGAGTGAGTTTAGTTGGTAATTTTGCTCTAAAATGCTTTTGAACTCAATTTAAAGGCCGTAAATTGGACTCTAACACTCGAGATTTTCGTTGTACTTGGGTTCTGATTGTTCGATTGAGGTCTAGAGGCAGTTTTGGAATAAAGGACCGTTTGGGTAACGTTTCTTAGCGTTTTTGGGTAAATTTACAGCATTAATTGGACCCCGAATGCTGTTATTAATTTTAGAATATGTTCTTTGGTCTTAGGTCATGTTTTTCTGTAAGAAAAAGAAAAGATTGAGTGGTTTGGAATCGCTATGAAGCAAGTGGCTTTCCTATGAAAGATTTAACTACATGTCCAAGAGTTCTAATTACATGAATGTGATGTCCATAGAATTGGAGTCACTTACCGAGTATTTTTAGTACTCAGTCTTTGCTTTTAAATTTTTTCAAGTAATGACAAGAGTGTATATGGCGCATGACGAGGCGAAGTGTTAATAGTGTCATAGGATTAAAAGAGTTACATTTCTGCATTCATTATATTCTTTTAATAGTTTAAGCTTTGAAGTAATGTTATAGAAATCTTTCTATTGGTTTAACACTTCATCGTTGTTTTATGTTTTTCAAGTTTTCAAGGTTTATAATTGTTTTATGTTTTACAACTTTTCAATGAGATTCCAAATAAATATTTTTGATTGTTCTATAGAAAATTATTTCTCTCCATGCTTTTTCTGAAGTAGTTGTAAACTATTCTAGCATGCACGTAGCAACGTTCCTAGTGAGTTTAAGTTGAATAAGTTGGGGCGTTAAATGTACTTTTTGGGTTATTGATTTTCAGGATCATTACCGTGTGAAGATAGCAAATTTTCTTTGTCATTCTCTTCCCTGATCTTCTTCTTCTTTCAGAACTTCCTCGATTGATAAGCAATCTTTGTTTTATCTGTTGAAACCAAGCAATTAATCGGTGGGATTCTTGGTCTTGGACCATGTCGTTCTCTGATTCCGATTCATCTTCCAATGGGGGCGATTACAAAAATTTCAGGCAAATCAGCCGTGAGCGTGAGTCTCATAACTCTCTTTTGCACTTACTTTCTTTTGTTTTGATAGTTTTCAAATAAATCACGTAGTTTGTGTGGATATCTGTTGAATTAATCCTCCAAGTGCCTTTTGTTTTCTAGAATCTGTAATAATTCCATCGCAGACTGAAATGGAAGGTTGCACTACACTTAATTTTTTCCGGGAAAGGATGGTGTGTTGTTACTGGGAATTTAATTTGGATGATAAGGGGTTTCAATTCCAGTATGGTTATTTTGAAGTCTCTGCCTATGTATAAGCTTGGACTAGAGGTTTAGTTTGCAGCCTCCTGAAATTGCTTTAACTTATGAGTTGAATTTATGGAGAGGTTTTCCTGTTTTTTTTACTCTAGTTATTATGATATTGTCCATACATTCCTTCCAGTTCTAGGCAGTTAATGTTTTGGAAGAAATCTTTCTAAAGCTTAATGGTGAATTGTACTAAATTTGGCAACGCATTTACGCATAATGCATTCAGTTCTGGTTTGGCATGCATCCTGGCTCTGGTAAGCATTAAGCTGCTCGAGGTGAACGTGTTAATGAAAACATGCTACCAAATCCCATAGGGCATTCACGTTATTACAAATTTTCTTATTAAGGACCTTACTCTTTTTTTGGGTTTAGATAAGTTATCCTTCCCAAGTGTTTCCGTGGTTGGTTCAACTGTTTTTTGGAATTTATTTTTAAGTAGTGAGCTGATCACTAATATTAACTGATCCAAGGTGTTGTCCACCTCAAAAAACCTGTGAGTTCTTGGTGTAATGGAATATTTATTTGGAGGTTGTTTTAGAGGCGCTTGTGAAAACATTTTTTTCACTTTACTTACCTCGCAGCAAACTTTTCATTCTTCTTTTTGGTAGGAAACAGAACTTTGATCACTATAAATATTTCATTTTTTATAATAATGCATATTACAAAAGATTGACCTTAGATCTTTAATCTTCCCGGATGGCTAGTGCATTGCACCTAATAGACCAGACCAGTTTACTTATATCCATTTTAAATTCACCTTCAGGATTGCTGCATGAGATGCTTCGCTCAGCCAAAACAGGGGATTCCAAATCAACTTGGAAGGTATGTCATATTCATAACCATTTTCGTTGAAACGAATTTCTTTTGAGCCTACTCATTACTCATCTTCATTCATGAAACATATGATTCTTACGTGGCTTTGGGATTTGCAAAATCTAATGTAGCAGTTTGCTTTTTATTACTTGGATTTTTCGAATGGATACTTGGTGGATACTTGGAAAAAAATTGGAATTTTCAATTTGGAGTTTATGGAATTTTCTGTATGTTTTCCTCCACTTCCTCTGGTGAAAAAATCTGCGTAGTTATTCTTGTTTAGTTTTCTTTTGAACAAGCAAGAATCATTGGTTTGCTTTTCGTTTGGTTTACTACACCACATTCCCTTTTAAATTTTTTGGTGCTTGAATCTGTTGTTTGCAGGTTCTCATCATGGACAAACTTACCGTCAAGATAATGTCATACTCATGCAAGATGGCTGATATCACAGATGAAGGTGTTTCATGTAAGAAACACAAGCAAATTCTCTAACAATTTTTTTATCAAAGATTCTAGATTGCCTTCTGTAATTCTCTCGTGTTTTGTAGACAATATATTGCATTTTCACGATATTAGTAGCATTTACTGCCAAAAAAAAAAAAAAAAGAAAGAAAAAAAAGAAAGGACTCCACACCGAGGTGGTTGGCAACTCTGGAAGCGAAAACCAAGGAGGTTGATGACTAAATGATAGAAAACCTTGCCACAAATTTTTTTTTTGAATTTTCCACACATAAAAAAGGACTCCACAGAGAGGTGGTTGATTTGGAAGTGAAAACTTTTTCTTAGCCATCCATAACTCAAAGCTATATTTATTGTGGAAAATTATTAAAGAAATGCTTTTGGAGCTTAGATCTATTCCCCATTTGGAATTTATAGTTTTTGGGCTTTGAAAGTATTTGGGTTGTTTTGGTTCTGCAGTGGTAGAAGACATATACAGACGAAGGCAGCCACTGCCGTCCATGGATGCTATCTATTTCATTCAGCCTTCTCGAGAGAAGTAATACATGTATACTTTTTTACGATATACAATCATACAATCCCATGTGATAGTCTCATTTAATTGTGAACTTTAAAGACCATACTTTGACTTTACCTTTTACTCTGCAAAGATGGAACGTAATGTATCTTTTATGTTTGATTAGACTTTTTATTTGGTTTTCTGCATTTAGAGTTCTTTTCTCTCTTTGATGGTTATGACTTTAATGTTTGTCTCATTCTGTTTTTGTCTTAATTTATGCTTATTGCTCTTATATTGCAGAGATTGAAGTAGAAAAGAAAAAGATTCTATTACATTTATCTATAGAGGAGATTTTTCTAACCTCGTCAGAAGAACCCTTCTTCCCTTTCTTTCTGTTATGATAATATCTTACGTCTCTTGTAAAAGAAGAAGTTATATTTTGTTCCAACACAGGAATGTAGTTAATTTAGGAATGTTTATTATTTTAGATTGATCACATAAATTGGAGTTGAATTGTTCATTATCTCTCTCTTTTGAACTTGCAGTGTTATCATGTTCCTGTCAGACATGTCAGGGAGGTCTCCTTTATACCGGAAGTATGTATACCTAGTTCCCAATTGTGTAATGCTTCTAGTTGAGTAATTATTTTGGTAATAGTTGTTGAATCTATTTTCTTTTGTATCTTTGAAGGGCATTTGTTTTCTTCAGTTC